TATAGGGTTAGAGCCATCATTCGCCCGGGGACATACCGGTTAGAAACTCTTGAAGGGGTACCGGTAGAAAGAACCTGGAATTCCCATCATCTTCGCAAGTTCTACAAATGATTGTAATACTAGGCAAGGCCTACTTTATTATCAATCAAACCGATGATGTTCAATACTCTATTTGGTAGCGGCAGGATTGATAGGTCGAACCTATCCTAGGAGGGCTTCCTGGGTGGATCGAATCCACTTGGCTAAGCCAATTGAGACACAGGCCCGGACCTGGCACGCTGGTTACTACACCGGTCTTGCTCAGTATAATAGAAAAAATATCAAAACCCGGAAGAGGGGCCCGGAAGAGGGTATGCCTGCAAGAGGGCTGGACCTGGAAGAGGGTTCGAACCGTACTTACACGGGCCCATGAGGTTTGACTGGTGTCGGGGAATCAGCCGTCGCCGTCAAATTGATTGGGGACTAAAAAGATGCCCATTAAAAGAAATAGAAGGGGATCGTCCACCGTGGCGCATCCTATATCCCCCTTCTCAGGGAAGACTTGAACGGGGGTGAGCTAAGGCCTTCCCGGGATGGTAGAAATCAAAGGGCCATTAAAAGACTTAATCACCCGGAAGAGGGGGCCCTAGAAGAAGGGTGCATTTGAACCTTGGAGAGGGTTCGAAACCATTCGACATGGTTAAATCTCCAATATTCTTGCCGGTTAAGGATACTTTAAGAATTTCTAGGTTACAGGTGTTTCCATCTACAACCTACCGATAAAAAAAAACAATACCCCGGTCGGGTATGGGCACATCAGGACCTCGAAAGTTCTACATCCATCGAAAGGCAAGGCAGTTGACCGGTCAAACCATGGCGTGGGAATTCACCGGTCAAAGTAAATTTTACCAAAAGGATTGGTGAAGTTATCCAAAATGCGAAAGTAAAGTTCGGCCGGTCAAACTTGTTAAGTTGGCCAAAATGATGAAGACGTTTGAAAAGCAAAAATGGGGGTCTGACCAGTCAAGGTTACTTGAGCTAATCCTTCAGATGAAGAAATCAAAGAGAACTTTGAAGTTCCACCGGTCGAAAACAATTGGGAAGTGGCCTGATTTATGTACCGGTCAGAATTTCTATGATGGTATTCTAAGGAGCAAGATCAAAAAATAAATCAAACAATCAGACGTGGAAGATTAACCGGTATAAAGAGAAAACATGGCATTCAAACGAAATAAGAATGTTAAATGTTTTACAGTTACACCGGGCATTCCCGGGGAAATGAGTTTGAAGTTTTACAAAGAACAACCGGTCTAGGCCGGGGAGATCCTAATCTAAGGGGAAAGGGGGAATGGGCTCTTCTTCTGGGATTGGAGCCAGGCCGTAAGATGCCGCGGTGAAGCTTGGGTCTCTTCTAAGCAGTACCCGGTGAGAGGCGATCCGGTCTTTCTTTTGTCCACTCTTGAATCTGAAGGATCCAATCGCGGTGATCATTCTCCTTCCTTCAGGCTCCTGGTACAGAAGCCTGAAGGACTCCATCGCGGTCTCCGGCGTCGCCGTCATCACCCGGGCAGCAACGGCTTTGTTCTCTTCAACCCAGGCGACAGCGCGCCCGGGGAAGGTTTCTTCCTTCTCCGCTGCTTCCCTCTTGGCTTCAGAGACTTCGTCCAGAAGCCGGCCATTCTCCTCCTTCAGTTGGGAGATTTCAGTCTTCATTGCCCCGGCCAGCCCAGACAGCCGGATCAGCTCATCAGCCTGGCTCCTTAGGATGAGTGCCATCTCTTCCTTCTCCTTCTTCAGCCGGTCGACTTCAGAAGGGGAACTCATCCCCAAATGGTCCACTGTTTGCGGCCCGATCTCCCCCACCTGCACAAAAACGAAATAGACCGGTAAGTTTCTCGATAAAAAAAACAAATAAAGACCAAGATGGCATCAAGACTTACCTCCTTCAGCCTTAGCCCCAGATTGATGAAGGCCTCCTCGATAGTCTGGCCGGCCGGCTCAGGATCTGACCTTGCCCTTTTCTTGGCGTAGGAAGGGTGCGTGGTCGCCACCTTTTTCACTCGGCGACCGGCCTTCTCCTTCTCTTTCCCCTTAGACCGGTTATCTTGGGGCTCATCTTCATCCAGGATTTCCACGGTCTCTGGATTGACCGGGAAAGTCCTGGCAGGATTGGCTTGGGAGCCCCCGATCTCCCCCACCGGTTGGTCGTTGGGAATGGCGAACTCTTCAAACTCCATATCTGCAAAACAAACTAAAACCATTAAGTACAAATACTTTGGCCGGTCAACTACGAATCACGAGAAAAATGAAAAGTACCTGGGTGGGAGTTGCCCTCAGCCTCCGCAGTGTTGCCCGGGGAGGGTACCCCGCGCCCCGCTGCGTCATGGGCCGGGGAGGTACCCTCGCCACCCGATTCGACCCTCCAAACCCAGCTGCCATAATGGAAAGTCCTCCCGGTGAAAGGATCCCCACGCATGAGGACCTCAAGATTCGCTTCCAAGTCTGGGGAGGAAGCCGGTGCAGTGTACTCTTGGTCGAGCAGATGGTCATTCCATTTCAGACCGGCCAGAGGAGTGAAGAATGGGGGAAACTCGATGAAAACAAATTTTTCCTTCCATCCCCGGTTACTCTGGGGGACTTCGGAAATGAACTTCCTACCGGTACGGGCTTTGAAGAATACAAAACCTTCGCAGCCGGATCCGCCCGGTAGGACTTCGAAGCAAAAAAGGAAAAGACGCAAAGAGGGGAAGATTTTCAGATGGGTACAAATATTTACGAAGGAATGAAGGTACCGGTGGGCGTTAGGAGTTATTTGGCCGGGCAAAATCCTAAACGCATGGCAGACTTCAATGAGGAGGGGGCGAAGGGGAAAGACTATGCCCGCGTCCAGGGAAATGGTATGGAACCCTATCATATCCTCCCGGTGGGGTTCAACGATATTGGGCCAGTTAGGTTCGTAGAGGAGGGTATACCCATCCGGGAGCCTCCTACGGATTTTGTTTAAAGCAATTTTAGATACACGGGAAGGTATGTCAAGGACGTAGAAAGTGGGAAGCGGAAAGTAACCGGCAGCATGAAGCCGCTCCTCCCACGCATCCCGGGTTTCGTGTTCAGGGTCATAGGGGCCCGGTTCATCATCGAACGGGTCATCCCTCCCCACGAAAGTTTCACCGGGCACCTGATTTACAGGATGCGGGTCGGGAATGGAGGAGTTGGGAACCTGACCAGGTGTAGATTCAGGAGAAGAAGACCCGGTCGAGGAAGATGAGTTGGAATCCTCAGAGGAGCAGTCCTCTGAGGACGAGATCCTATCGCTAAACGAAGACATGGCCGGGAAAGAAAAAAGAGAAGGAAGGGGGAACTTACTTGACTCGGAGGGCTGGATAGCGAATGATAAGGAACTTGACCAGTGAAAGCTCTAGGAGGCGAAGTGTGAAAAGTGAGAAGTGAAAGGGGTTAGAGGCCTTTATATAGGAGGGAGGAAGCCGAATCAGGCGACGTGGCCTCTCCAGGTTGCGCCGCGTCATGCGGCGCAATGATGACCCACTGGCAGGCGAAACGACGGGTGGGCCGCCGACCGTTGCAACGACGTGTGTCCAACACGTGTCAAAAACTCTGAGTTCAAGTTTCAAATTTTGAGATTTTCGGGCGGGAAAAGTCTGAAATTCAAATTTGAACCCGTTTTTCAGGATTTTTTACTTCCCGCTCATGACAAATTGCATGACCGAGAAGTGGAGGGCTTATTGATGGGTGTATTCCACCCACGACCGGTCAAAGAAGAAGGCCAAATCGTTGACCGGTCAATCTCGAGAGTTTTGGAAGGGAGACTTAAATCGTCAGCAAAACGACATATCATCGGCCAAAATATGACCGGTATACTTCACAAAAAAGTATACCGGTCAAACTACGTTGTCGTCCTATTTATTCCAGACTTCGATGAATTCACCTCTCGGAGATTACCCGGTGTAGTTTCTGAGGTTGGAAAGTGTCGGCAGAAGAGGATCTGCGAGGGCTTGGCGTGTAGCGACCCGTGTTAGTAGAGGACAACTGGAGATGCTGAAGAATCCATCCAAGGCGCTACTCGACAAAGGGAATGATCCCCCTCACAAGGCGACAAGGCAGCTCGAGGACGAAACCAGTCACCTCGCACCACATCAGCAGCATGCCCCCACGTGGGCGCACGTGGTCCTGTCCCCTTAGCCTAGTATAAATACTCATGTAAACCTCAGAAAGGGGGACCGGAATTCTTTCTCTCTGAACTCCCTTGTAAAAGCACCCGTGCATTCTCCGTTATAATATAAATTGGGCTACAGGTGTTCCACCTAAAGTCCTCCCGGTCAATCTACGAGTTTTTACCTTTCTTACTTTGCCAAATCAAGCAAACTATTCCAGACCCGGTCTAGTATAGTTTGACCGGTCAAGTAATTTACACCATCATGCACCATTAAAATTTTGTCTAAAACGTCATCGTTAATCGAAAATGTTATTCCCACACGAGCCCTAAGACCATGTTATCTTCATCTGTTCTGAATGATTCTGATCCGATTGGAATAAGTTTTGATCTGATCTAAATGTAGTTATATCTAAAGCTACTTCTGATCTGGTCTGAACTGATTCCAATAAAAAAAATAATATCAGTATTATGAAAAAGTTGAAGAGAACATGATCTACTCCCTCCGTTCCACAAAACCCTTCCTCTTTCGTTTTTTTTTGCTTTCCACAAAACAGTTCCACTTTCTATTAAAAAACCACTTTTACCCTTACTTTTTCATACTCTACCTATCACATCATACTTTTTCACTAATAACCAAACTATCACATCTTACTTTTTCCAATCACATCAAGGGCAAAATTGGAAAAAGTCAACCAAATTTTCATTTTCCTTATTTTTCCCTAAAGTCAAAATCGGAAGGGTTTTGTGGAACGGAGGGAGTAAGATTTAAACACGACGATTCTTTTAATCCGTAAAATTTTGACTTTAAAGTGACTAGAAGCCTCTACGTAGGATGCTCTGATGGTAAAATTGATAGCTCATACCCTCTCTAATCCCCTAAATCCATCCAGCTCTCCCTAGATCGCTGATTTGACACTGCCAAATCGACGACCTAAGGGGGTGGGGTTGGTGCAGTGGGGATGGAAAGTTTGGAGGGGGAATGATTAAGTAAGTGAAAATCATCAATTTTACAAGCAGAGCATCGATTATATGTATATACAATCGAAATATGACTTGTGCGAGTGTCATTGAAAAGATTGTATTAAATATTCGCATTTTTTCTAACATATAAATCTTAAAAGACACTATAATCAAATTGTGTAAATAACTTAAAAATGTAAACTTATTTTTACATTTTCTTGGTTTTTGAGTAAGGTGTCGCCTCCAAAATTGATTAGTTTGAGGTGGGCCATGTAAGGCACTTCAAATGGCCTTTTTTCTATCCAAAGGGATTTTAGAGGCCCCATAAGTGTGGGCCGAGTTTAAGTCAAGCCCCCACTAGAGGCCTCGTTGATCTTTTAACCATTGGGCCCAATTCATCTTCTATTTTGGTCCTCTCTTCCCGTGATAACTTCAAAATTCACTATCATTCTCTTCATTCATTCACCATTAGAGAGAGTAGGCAAATTCTTGTATGGCTCACATTTTTTAAAAGAGATAAAATTCACTTATTAGCCTATTAAAATTGTGAAAATTTTCATAAGTGAAAAAATAACTAAACAATTTAAATTGAGATAAGATGGAAACTATTGTACTCCAATGTACTATGGAGAAAAGAATGAGAGGTGACATATGCCCTCCAAATGTTGTCATTCACACTTCAATTTACTCTATTTCTTTCTCATTGACTCTCTTAAGTCTATTATTAAAAATGTGAAGCACCATGCCATCAAACACAATTCGTTTTTGTGTGTGATAAAAAATGTGACATTGAAAAAAAAGGATAATAATTTATGATTTGTATTTAGAAGTATAGTCATACATTATAAAATCTAATAGACTATGGAGAAGTGATCAATCTATTTGTTCTCAAGAATGATAGGACACAAATCCTCGGTTAAGTATTAAAGTACGGATTTATGAGACTATGAGTTTCACATTTTTATCCTTATTACTGAAATGTTAATTATTATTTAAAAAAATTAATTGAGAAATCTTACTTCTTTATTAAACAATGACTCATTTTCTCTCTGTTGAACAAGGCCCTTGATTGCTAGGAGACGGCCTGATCATTATCTTGCCAATAATGCTACGCCCCTACCGGAAGTTCCGGTTCCGGTACCGTTTCGGCCACCCATAATTTCTTTTTCTTTTTGCTTTTTTATTAAATTTTTAAAGTGTAGAACTGTAAATGTGTAATTGTTAAAAGAAAGGATGAAATAAAAAACTCTAAAAATGAAATTAATAAAGGAAAGAATGAAATAAAAAATAAAAATAAAAAAAATTAATTACGGTACCGGAACCGGTACCGCCGGTGCCGGTACCGAAAAATGGGCACCGGAACTGGTACCGGAGTGGGCGGTACCGGTACCGGTTCCCGGAACCGGTGGACCGTCCCGGCCGACGGTAACGGTACCGGGAAAATAACCCATTTTCCAAAAAATATTTTTTATAAATCATTTTTTTGTGGGATTCACTCCCAAATTAACGCATGGAATAAGGCATCTTTCCTTCTCTTGGTTTGGTGGGCGGCAAACAAAAGTGCAAAAGAGAAAGGAAAATGCAAAAAAGACACCACATGTGCCTCCAAGCATGCCACCAAATATATTTAACTTTTTTTTTTTTCAATTTTCCTTTTTTCTTAGTTTTTTCGTCTCCCTCCCCTAAAATTCCCAAATCTCCCTTCCACAGCGCAGGTCTGTGGCAATCCAGTCTCGAAGCCGGCATCTACGAGTGGGATTACGCGCGGTAGTGCAGCCCTCCAGCTCCAGCACCGGCAGCCCCACCCCTCCAGTTCCAGCGTCGGCAGCCCGGGAACCCCTCCAGCTCCAGCGCCGGCAGCTCCACCCCTGCCGGAACAGGTACTGATGCTAATTTCCCTTTCCTTGGTCTCTTTCTTGATCTCTCTACTGATAATTTCAGTTTCCTTGGTGTTTTTAAACTGTGTGTTAATGTAGTTGTAGATTTGATAATGGTATGTTTGTGTAATTTCAAATCTCCATAATGCAGTTTCAGTTTGATGTTCTTTTTCATTGAAATTAGGTATTCCCGGTTTCTTTGAATGCTTGTTATTTTTGCTTACTGTGTGAATTGTATGACATAGATGGTTAAATTCTGTTATTTGAACTTCATATAACATTATTGTCTGTGAAAGAGATCTGCTTGTTATTTGCTTGCTTTCTGTGAATTGTATCTCATAGATGATTAACTTCTCTTTATTGAACTTCATATAACATTATTGTCTGTGAAAGAGGTTTGCTTGTTATTTTTGCTTACTTTATGTGAATTGTTTCGCATAGAAGATTAAATTCTGTTAATTCAACTTCATATATGATTATTGTCTGTGTAGATATTTAACTTCTGTTAATTGAACTTCATTTCAAATGATGTCTTTGTTAATCCATGTTAGTGCTCATTTTGGAGCTCAATATTCAGTTTGTTCTGACATCCGTGAAGCCATCAACCAGACGATGAATTCTGGATCATTCCCTTGCAGGTGTGACAATTGTGGAGTGATGGTGCTTGCATTTCTAGAGTATTTGTTGGTGGGCTTACCATTAAGCCCGGACTGCATTTCTGAACACATGGCTGATTTCTGATGTCAATTTGCAGCTAGGTTATGGCTTGGAAGGAACACCCAATATTTAGCATTTTTACTTTACAATTTTAGGGGTTTTTAATTTTTGTGAAACTCTTTGTAATGGTTTATGTTCTTTGTAATGTATTTTTGGGGGAAACACTTTAGATTTTTTTTTGAAAGCTTTGAAATGGGGCTTGTATAATCATGAATTTGTACTTGTTAATGCACAATGTGTTAATGTATGTTATGACTCATTTACATTAGTTTATGACTGATTTACGTTCTTTTACTTTCAGAGCCCTCACAGAGAATAACTGTCTATTTTACCCATTTCACAGATATTTAATGTATGTGACGACAGAGTTACATAACTTTATGTACACACACCATCTTTAGAATCTTATCACATATGTTGGGGTCTTGTAAAGGTAAAAAGAAACTTAAAACGCATACATTAGATTTGAGCGAGCTCACATGTAATAACTGTCTATTTCACACACTTCACAGAGACTTAATGTATGTGAAGACATAGTTACATCAGGTTTACATCAGTTTATGTGCATGGAACACTTCACATCTGTGTTCTGTCCGATCTCACCACTCGCCTGTTCTTGCCCTTCATCGTTAAATAAATATTGAAAGCAAGGATCGTTAAGAAACAAATCTG